TGTGGGAATCAGGCTTTTCAGTCCAGCTTTGACTTTGCTTGCAATTTCTTGGTCAGAACTCTGGAGAAGGCTAGAAAGAATAATGAAACCTCGATTTACACTAGCCCAGGACTTAAGGTTCTTCATACCGACATGCTCTACAATGGTTTTTGCAAAATGACCATCTCTTCTGTTTTGTTTCATCTTTTTATCTTGCTCTATTAACCACTTCAAAACAAGATGCCCTGCAGGATGTTCTGCAATGTGAAGCTCTCCATCCTTGCTTCCAGGGCACAGTTCTGCTGCTGCCAAGCTGGCGATGGCATTCATGGCAGGTTGAGAGTCTCCAGTGGCAGCTTCCAGAATGCAAGACACCAACGCACAGGCAGACTTATCTAGTACCATTTCTTGAGTGTGATCTTGCATTTAGCTTAACAAAGCTGAGGAGATGGATTCTAAGAGCTCTCGGCGATGGATCTCTGTTATCTTCTTTACTGTGTGCGTTTCCATTCCCTTTCTGCAGAACTTCAATAATTCTCAGACTGTATATGCAGGATCTTGGGGGCTTAGTAGGACAACAGGACCTTCCTTCCATATTTGTCATTTAATATGTTAGACAAGGAACTAATAGTTTCAGATATGATTATCTGCTTCACAATCAAATGCTGCCAGTAAAACCAAATGGGAGTATTGGCCATTAGCCACCTTTTCAACAGAAGTCTTCATTGTTTTCACAATCACTGTCCTGTCCTTGGGTGTGCAGGTGCATGGCCACTCTGGCACCATTATGTGTGTGTGCCAGGTAGACCACCACTTCACAGATGGCTTCATGCTGGAAGCCAAGATCAACAGTAATTAATATAAATGCGAGAAGTTCGTCAGAAGGCTGAATGGGGCTTTGATGTTCAGAAGGCTGAATATCTGCATTTTATTACCTGCTGCTGACTCAATAGCCCAAGGCAACCCCTCAAATTTGATGATCTCTTTACTGTTTACTAAACATCACCTTTGATATGTCTGTTTGCATTCCTAAAAGGCGATTGTGTATTCTAGTAAATAAAAAGCAGATGGGTGTGGAGATTCAGTGGAGCTTAGTTCCGTGAACTAAGTTCACAACTGGTTTCCCCATAATTTCCAAATTTATATTTCTTGTCTTGTGTATTAATCTGCATGTCAGTTTTTTCTTCAGGTATTTGAACCCAGGCCATGCGGGCCGTAGCCTCACAGCTTCGATCATTTCTGATCTTAGCTTCGGAGGTGCATAGGTAAAAACGTCCAAGAATACTTTATGCACCAATGAGTGCTTAGTCACAGCTTCCTTTTGGGCCATTGGAGTTAGAATCTGTTTCATTTCATCCATGATAAGTTCTAGTGTTTCTGGCTATTCCTCTAACACTGTCCAGAGTTGGGTGATCTGCTGACTTGTAAAGCTGAAATGTGTTCCCACAGGGCGCTCTGTCATGTTTCTCTGCTCTAAAATGGCTTTGTCATTGTATGGTATTCCATGACGGCTGATGGCTGAGGCTTCCGCGTGTCGGGGCATCTTCCTCACCTGGCCTTTAAAACTTCTGATTATCTCCACATTCTGCGGTTTACCCCCATACATGAGAAATTTCTTAACAATATTTCTGGAATATTTAGCTTTACGCAATTCAGCCAAGTCATCTCGCAGTCTTTCAAAAGCCTGTTTCCTCTGCTCTTTATCGCCAAACTGAATGTAACATTGCATCACACAAGCTGAATCATTGTTTTTATAAAATGTGTTTTTTTCTTGTGACATCTTTGCACCTTTTTCTGTGAATTTTTGTTTTGCTTTGACTTCCATCATGGCAACTCTCACACAGGGCTCCCCGCCGCTTTCTCTTTCAGCAAATTTTTATGGAGAGAGTAGAAAGGAGGGGGAGAGATGCAGAGAGAGAAACATTGGTGTAAGAGATTGGTTGCCTACTGCACACGCCTGCTAGGGCTGGGAATTAGTACATGCCTGCCTGGAATCAAACCCAGGACCCTTCAGTTGGCTGG